CCATTCCCCCCCAGAAATGTCTGGGAACTTGCAGGTGCCTTGGTGGAAGAGTGGGGTAACATCTCACAGCAAGAACTGGCAAATCTGGTGCAGTCCATGAGGAGGAGAAGAGCACTGCAGTACTTAATGCAGCTGGTGGCCACACCAGATACTGACTGTTACTTTTGACCCCCCCCCCCCTCTTTATGTAGTATTGTGGCGTCTCTCTTTATGTAGCGTTGTGGCGTCTCTCTTATGTAGTGTGGTCCCTTTATGTAGCGTTGTGGTGTCTCTCTTTATGTAGTGTTGTGGTGTCTCTCTTATGTAGTGTTGTGGTGTCTCTCTTTATGTAGTGTTGTGGTGTCTCTCTTATGTAGTGTTGTGGTGTCTCTCTTTATGTAGTGTTGTGGTGTTCTTTATGTAGTGTTGTGGTGCTCTCTTTATGTAGTGTTGTGGTGCTCTCTTTAGTAGTGTTTGTGGTGTCTCTCTTTATGTAGTGTTGTTGTGTCTCTCTTTATGTAGTGTTGTGGTGTCTCTCTTATGTAGTGTTGTGGGTCTCTCTTTATATAGTGTTGTGGTGTCTCTCTTTATGTAGTGTGTGGTGTCTCTCTTATGTAGTGTTGTAGTGTCTTCTTTATGTAGTGTTGTGGTGTCTCTTTATGTAGTGTTGTGGTGTCTTTATGTAGTGTTGTGTGTCTCTCTTATGTAGTGTTGTGGTGTCTCTTTATTAGTGTTGTGGTGTCTCTCTTTATGTAGTGTGGGTGTCTCTTTATGTAGTGTTGTGGTGTCTCTCTTTATGTAGTGTTGTGGTTGTCCTCTTTGTAGTGTGTTGGGTGTCTCTTTATGTAGTGTTGTGGTGTTCTCTTTATGTAGTATTGTGTGTGTCTCTCTTTATGTAGTGGTGTGGTGTCTCTTTATGTAGTTGTTGTGGTGTTCTTTATGTAGTGTTGTGGTGTCTCTCTTTATGTAGTGTTGTGGTGTCTCTTTATGTAGTGTTGTGGTGTCTCTCTTTATGTAGTGTGGTTCTCTATGTGTGTGTTGTGGTGTCTCTCTTTATGTAGTGTTGTGGTGTTCTCTTTATGTAGTGTTGTGGTGGTCTCTTTATGTAGTGTTGTGGTGTCTCTCTTTATGTAGTGTTGTGGTGTCTCTTTATGTAGTGGTTGTGTTCTCTTTATGTAGTGTTTGTGGTGTCTCTCTTTATGTAGTTGTGTGGTGTCTCTTTATGTAGTGTTGTGGTGTCTCTCTATGTATGTGTGGTGTCTCTCTTATGTAGTGTGTGGTGTCTCTTTATGTAGTGTTGTGGTTGTCTCTCTTTGTGTAGTGTTGTGGTGTCTCTTTATGTAGTGTTGTGGTGTCTCTCTTTATGTAGTGTTGTGGTGTCCTTTATGTAGTGTTGTTGGTGTCTCTTTATGTATGTTGTGGTGTCTCTCTTTATGAGTGTTGTGGTGTCTCTCTTTTGTAGTGTTTGTGGTGTGACTCTCTTTATGTAGTGTGTGGTGTCTCTTCTTTATTAAGTGTTTGTGGTGTCCTCTTATGTAGTGTTGTGGTGTCTCTTTATGTAGTGTTTGGTGTCTCTCTTTATGTAGTGTTGTGGTTTCTCTCTTAAGTAGGTAGTGTTGTGGTGTCCTCTTTATGTGTGTTTGGTGTCTCTCTTTGTGTATGTTGTGTTATCTCTTTATGTAGTGTTGTGGTGTCTCTCTTTATGGTGTTGTGGTGTCCGCTCTTTATGTAGTGTTGTGGTGTCTCTCTTTTAGTGTTGTGGTGTCTCTCTTATGTAGTGTTGTGGTGTCTCTCTTTATGTAGTATTGTGGTGTCTCTCTTTATGTTAGTGTTGTGGTGTCTCTCTTTCTGTAGTGTTGTGGTGTCTCTCTTTATGTAGTGTTGTGGGCGTCTCTCTTTATTTATGTTGTGCTGTCTGTCTTTATGTAGTTGTTGTGTTGTCTCTTTATGTAGTGTTGTGGTGTCTCTCTTTATGTAGTGTTGTGCTGTCTGTCTTTATGTAGTGTTGTGATGTCTCTATGTAGTGTTGTGGTGTCTCTCTTTATGTAGTATTGTGGTGTCTCTCTTTATGTAGTGTTTGTGGTGTCTCTCTTTATGTATGTTGGTGTCTCTCTTTATGTAGTGTTGTGGTGTCTCTCTTTATGAAGTGTTGTGGTGTCTCTCTTATGTAGTGTTTTGTTGGGGTCTCTTCTCTCTCTTCATGTAGTGTTGGTGTCTCTCTCTCTCTTGTCATGATGTGTTTTGTCCTACATTTTTATTTTTAATCAATCCCAGCCCCCGTCCCTGCAGGAGGCCTTTTGCCTTTTGGTAGGCCGTCATTGTAAATATGAATTTGTTGTTAACTGACTTGACTAGTTAAATAAAGGTTAAATAAAAAATAATCAGTAGGTTACTAAAGACACGTTCTATAACGCCCTAGCTCACTCATCCACTCGTTCACTATACCGATCATTCGACGGTCTCTAGTCCAATGGCGTTATTTCACTAGAGCGCTGGCATATCTGCAATAGGTTCACAACAGCCCTTCTGAATATGTGGGGTGCACGCCGCCTGCCGCACGCCGCCTGCCGCCTGCCGCCTGCCGCACGCCGCCTGCCGCACACCGCCTGCCGCCTGCCGCCTGCCGCACGCCGCCTGCCGCCTGCCGCCTGCCGCCTGCCGCCTGCCGCACGCCGCCTGCCGCCTGCCTACACTCCTGTGTTCCATGAAGTGCGGTGCGCTCGTGCGTAAAAATGAGTTTTGTAATTTAATTCATAGGCTACTTATTTCACCAATTATTTATCCATAGACAGACGCCGCTTATGTTTCCAGATGTGTTTCTTTACTTATAGCTAAATGGCCATTAGACTATTCTACATTCTAAACTAGTTTGTATTTTATCACCACAAAAATGTGTTGGAAAAATATTGTATATTAATGAATTAATAGTTATTAACATGGATTATAACTTTGCTTCTGGCATCCTACTATGGAGACAGGGTGAGACAGCAGAGAGACAGGGTGAGACAGCAGAGAGACAGTAGAGAGACAGGGTGAGACAGCAGAGAGACAGCAGAGAGACAGGGTGAGACAGCAGAGAGACAGGGTGAGACAGCAGAGAGACAGTAGAGAGACAGGGTGAGACAGCAGAGAGACAGCAGAGAGACAGGGTGAGACAGCAGAGAGACAGGGTGAGACAGCAGAGCGACATTGGTGAGACCAGACAGCAGAGACAGCAGAGAGACAGGGTGAGACAGCAGAGAGACAGGGTGAGACAGCAGAGAGAGGGGTGAGACAGCAGAGAGACAGTGGAGACAGGGTGAGACAGCAGAGAGAGGGGGTGAGACAGCAGAGAGACAGCAGAGAGACATGGTGAGACAGGGTGAGACAGCAGAAAAGGGGGAGAGAGAGCAGGGTGAACAGCAGAAGGGCAGGGTGAGACAGCAGAAAACAAACAGAGAGACAGGTTTAGGGCGCAGAGAGACAGGGTTTGAACAGCAGAGAGACAGCAGAGAGACAGGGTGAGACAGGGTGGGACAGCAGAGAGACGGGGTGAGACAGGGTGAGACAGGGAGAGACAGGGTGTGACAGGGTGAGGCGGAGCCTATCTGGTTGTCACCCATGCCAGGGAATAGGCTTCTCATAATGTTATGTCAATCCTATTCAGACTCAGGTGGACCAGGAGAAAATACATCATATGGACAATTGCTTTATTCTAAATATTTAAGTATTTGAAAGTTCTACTGTAGCAGTTTTGTGAATGAAGTGTTTCATCTTTTTAACGGGTCCAAACCTCTTGTTTCAAGTCAGCCAGTGGGCATCATCAAATTGGGTCCTGTCCCTTTAAAATGGCCGTCACAACATTATGGGTCATCAGGGTTAGTGGTACAGGGATCCTTGGGAGGTCACTATCCTAAACCCTAACGTTAACCTCTACCATAACCCTAACGTTAACCCCTACCATAACCCTAACGTTAACCCCTACCATAACCCTTACCTCAACCCTTACCATAACCATTTAAAAATTAAACTTCAATGGGGTAACGTCAGAATTGTGACGTCTCAAGGATTCCAGATAGCAAGAACCGGGCATCAGGCCTTTAGAACTGAACGGAAGGGCACGACCAAAAATATAATGGCCAATCAACGAGGCCCTATCGAGTCTGGTAAGTGACTGACGTGGAGATTTACCAATAAAAACCGGTAGCCCCGAGGATGGGCGTTCCATAGGACATGTGACAAAAACTCCAGCAGCGGTGTGTAGATGGTTGTTGGAGTCTAGCTACAGGACAGAAGGGGATATTGACCTAGTTATGAATCACTGTTCATGGGGGAAAATTACCGAAATTAAACTAAAATTTAGACAGTTGTCCCGTTATTTTGCATATTTATTACAGCATTTCTGCAATTGAAAGTCATTTAGCTGATGTAGAAATGTAACTGTATTTCTGTAGACAAATGTAACTGTTCTTTGTGCTTAATAGTGCTGTCATGTTGCAGTAATCTCGCTAACCAGACACTAAATGCGCAATTAGCCTGGTGACGAGGTTACATATGCAGTATGACATCCCATTCAAACAACCTTGAACATGCGTTTCCTGGGCTCAGCCACTACCAGGATACACCACTAGCTGGCGCCAAAACGCTGTGAAACCACATTCTTATCGCAATTAATTTGACCAAACACACACAGTCGTCCTTATCCTCGTTTGACCCTCAGCTCGAGATGTGATGAATGGACATCAAGGCTACATCACAAATGGCACCCTATTCCCTGTGGGCCCTGGTCAAAAGTAGTGCACTATAAAGGGTATAGGGTGATATTTGGGACGCACCTAAATATTTATTATTCAGTAGATCTGACATCATAACCTCCAATGTTCCCTCCCCTTCCCCTCAGTCTGATTCTGACTGGTTCTGACTGTGAGATGGAGTCAGTTATATTAGTCTCTGACTGTGAGATGGTGTCAGTTATATTAGTCTCTGACTGTGAGATGGAGTCAGTTATATTAGTCTCTCTGACTGTGAGATGGAGTCAGTTATATTAGTCTCTCTGACTGTGAGACGGTGTCAGTTATATTAGTCTCTGATTGTGAGACGGTGTCAGTTATATTAGTCTCTGACTGTGAGATGGTGTCAGTTATATTAGTCTCTGACTGTGAGACGGTGTCAGTTATATTAGTCTCTGACTGTGAGATGGTGTCAGTTATATTAGTCTCTGACTGTGAGATGGTGTCAGTTATATTAGTCTCTGACTGGGGTAGTTCATATTAGTCCGGGTGTCAGTTATATTAGTCTCTGACTGTGAGATGGTGTCAGTTATATTAGTCTCTGACTGTGAGATGGTGTCAGTTATATTAGTCTCTGACTGTGAGATGGAGTCAGTTATATTAGTCTCTCTGACTGTGAGATGGAGTCAGTTATATTAGTCTCTCTGACTGTGAGACGGTGTCAGTTTATATTAGTCTCTGATTGTGAGACGGTGTCAGTTTATATTAGTCTCTGACTGTGAGATGGTGTCAGTTATATTAGTCTCTGACTGTGAGACGGTGTCAGTTATATTAGTCTCTGACTGTGAGATGGTGTCAGTTATATTAGTCTCTGACTGTGAGATGGTGTCAGTTATATTAGTCTCTGACTGTGAGACGGTGTCAGTTATATTAGTCTCTGACTGTGAGACGGTGTCAGTTATATTAGTCTCTGACTGTGAGACGGTGTCAGTTATATTAGTCTCTCTGACTGTGAGATGGTGTCAGTTATATTACTCTCTGACTGCGGAGACGGTGCAGTATATTAGTCTCGCTGACTGTGAGATGGAGTCCGTTATATTAGTCTCTCTGATGTGAGAGGGTGTCCCAGTTTATATTAGTCTCTCTGACTGTGAGACGGATTTGTCAGTTATATTAGTCTCTGACTGCTTGAGATGGTGTCAGTGAATTAGTCTCTGACTGTGAGATGGTGGCAGTTATATATGTCTATCTGACTGTGAGATGGTGCTGTCATATTATTAGTCTCTCTGACTGTGAGACGGTGTTCATGTTAATATTAGTGCTGACTGTGAGACGGTTGTCAGTGAGATTCGGTCTTCTGACTGTGAGATGGTGCAGTATATTAGTCTCTCTGACTGTGAGACGGTGTGTCAGTTTATAGTCTTGACTGTGAGATGGTGTCAGTTAAGTAGTCTCTATGACTGTGGAGTGGGTCAGTTATATTAAGGTCCTATGGACGTGAGATGTGTCAGTTTATATTAGTCTCTCTGACTGTTGAGACGGTTGTCGTTATATTAGTCTCTGACTGTGAGATGGGGTCAGGTTTAGATTAGTCTCTTGACTGTGAGCTGGTTCAGTTATATTAGTCTCTATGAATGTGAGACGAGGTGTCAGTTAGATGATAGTCCTGACTGTGAGATGGTGTCAGTTACTATTAGTCTATGACTGTGAGATGGTTGTCGTTAGATAGTATCTCTGATGTGAGACGGTGTCAGTTTATATTAGTGCTTGACTGTGAGACGGTTGTCAGTTTAATTAGTCTCTAGACTGGGTTGAGATGGTGTCAGTTATATTAGTCTCTATGATGTGAGAGTGTCAGTTATATTAGTCTCTCGCTGTGAGACCTTGTTAGTCATTATATTAGTCTCTCTGACTGTGAGATGGTGTAAGTTCATATGCAGGGGCCGATTCTGACTGTGAGACGGTTGTTCAGTTTATATTAGTCTCTGACTGTGAGATGGTATGTCAGTTATATAGGTCTCTCGGGACTGGTGAGATGGTGGTCAGTTATATTAGTCTCTCTGACTGTGAAGACGGTGTCAGTTAGATGAAGGCTCTTTGACTGTGAGATGGGGTCAGTTATATTAGTCTCTCTGACTGGAGATGGTGTCAGTTAATATCTCTATGAATGTGAGATGGTGTCAGTGAATTAGTCCTCTGACTGTGAGATGATTCTTTAGTGTCAGTTATATTAGTCTCTCTGACTGGGAGATGGTGTCAGTTATATTAGTCTCTGACTGTGAGATGGTGTACTATATTGTCTCTCTGATGGAGATGGTGTCAGTTATATTAGTCTTCTTGACTGTTGAGATGGTGTTGTCAGCTTATTTAGTCTCTCTGACTGGTGAGAGGGTGTCATTTATATTAGTTCTCTGACACTGTGAGTGGTGTCAGTTATCTATTAGTCTTTGGACTGTGAGATGGGTCAGTATATTAGTCTCTGACAGTGAGAGGTGTTCAGTTATATTAGTTTGACTGTGAGATGGTGTCCAGTTAATAGTCTCTCTGACTGTGAGATGGTGTCAGTTATATTAGTCTCTCTGACTGTGAGATGGTGTCAGTTGTATTAGTCTCTGACTGTGAGATGGTGTCAGTTATATTAGTCTCTCTGATTGTGAGATGGTGTCAGTTATATTAGTCTCTTTGACTGTGAGATGGTGTCAGTTATATTAGTCTCTCTGACTGTGAGATGGTGTCAGTTATATTAGTCTCTCTGACTGTGAGATGGTGTCAGTTATATTAGTCTTTGACTGTGAGATGGTGTCAGTTATATTAGTCTCTGACTGTGAGATGGTGTCAGTTATATTAGTCTCTCTGGCTGTGAGATGGTGTCAGTTATATTAGTCTCTGACTGTGAGAGGGTGTCAGTTATATTATTCTCTCTGACTGTGAGAGGGTGTCAGTTATATTAGTCTCTGACTGTGAGATGGTGTCAGTTATATTAGCCTCTGACTGTGAGATGGTGTCAGTTATATTAGTCTGTCTGACTGTGAGATGGTGTCAGTTATATTAGTCTCTGACTGTGAGACGGTGTCAGTTATATTAGTCTCTCTGGCTGTGAGATGGTGTCAGTTATATTAGTCTCTCTGACTGTGAGATGGTGTCAGTTATATTAGTCTCTGACTGTGAGATGGTGTCAGTTATATTAGTCTCTCTGACTGTGAGATGGTGTCAGTTATATTAGTCTCTGACTGTGAGATGGTGTCAGTTATATTAGTCTCTGACTGTGAGAGGGTGTCAGTTATATTAGTCTCTCTGACTGTGAGAGGGTGTCAGTTATATTAGTCTATCTGACTGTGAGATGGTGTCAGTTATATTAGTCTCTGACTGTGAGATGGTGTCAGTTATATTAGTCTCTGACTGTGAGAGGGTGTCAGTTACAGTGGGGAAAAAAAGTATTTAGTCAGCCACCAATTGTGCAATTCTCCCACTTAAAAAGATGAGAGTAGCCTGTAATTTTCATCATAGGTACACGTCAACTATGACAGACAAATTGAGGGAAAAAAATCCAGAAAATCACACTGTAGGATTTTTAATGAATTTATTGCAAATTATGGTGGAAAATAAGTATTTGGTCACCTACAAACAAGCAAGATTTCTGGCTCTCACAGACCTGTAACTTCTTCTTTAAGAGGCTCATCTGTCCTCCACTCGTTACCTGTATTAATGGCACCTGTTTGAACTTGTTATCAGTATAAAAGACACCTGTCCACAACCTCAAACAGTCACACTCCAAACTCCACTATGGCCAAGACCAAAGAGCTGTCAAAGGACACCAGAAACAAAATTGTAGACCTGCACCAGGCTGGGAAGACTGAATCTGCAATAGGTAAGCAGCTTGGTTTGAAGAAATCAACTGTGGGAGCAATTATTAGGAAATGGAAGACATACAAGACCACTGATAATCTCCCTCGATCTGGGGCTCCACGCAAGATCTCACCCCGTGGGGTCAAAATGATCACAAGAACGGTGAGCAAAAATCCCAGAACCACACGGGGAGACCTAGTGAATGACCTGCAGAGAGCTGGGACCAAAGTAACAAAGCCTACCATCAGTAACACACTACGCCGCCAGGGACTCAAATGCTGCAGTGCCAGACGTGTCCCCCTGCTTAAGCCAGTACATGTCCAGGCCCGTCTGAAGTTTGCTAGAGTGCATTTGGATGATCCAGAAGAGGATTGGGAGAATGTCATATGGTCAGATGAAACCAAAATATAACTTTTTGGTAAAAAACTAAACTCGTCGTGTTTGGAGGACAAAGAATGCTGAGTTGCATCCAAAGAACACCATACCTACTGTGAAGCATGGGGGTGGAAACATCATGCTTTGGGGCTGTTTTTCTGCAAAGGGACCAGGACGACTGATCCGTGTAAAGGAAAGAATGAATGGGCCCATGTATCGTGAGATTTTGAGTGAAAAACCTCCTTCCATCAGCAAGGGCATTGAAGATGAAACGTGGCTGGGTCTTTCAGCATGACAATGATCCCAAACACACCGCCCGGGCAACGAAGGAGTGGCTTCGTAAGAATCATTTCAAGGTCCTGGAGTGGCCTAGCCAGTCTCCAGATCTCAACCCCATAGAAAATCTTTGGAGGGAGTTGAAAGTCCGTGTTGCCCAGCGACAGCCCCAAAACATCACTGCTCTAGAGGAGATCTGCATGGAGGAATGGGCCAAAATACCAGCAACAGTGTGTGAAAACCTTGTGAAGACTTACAGAAAACATTTGACCTGTGTCATTGCCAACAAAGGGTATATAACAAAGTATTGAGAAACTTTTGTTATTGACCAAATACTTATTTTCCACCATAATTTGCAAATAAATTCATTAAAAATCCTACAATGTGATTTTCTGGAATTTTTTTCCTCATTTTGTCTGTCATAGTTGACGTGTACCTATGATGAAAATTACAGGCCTCTCTCATCATTTTAAGTGGGAGAACTTGCAAAATTGGTGGCTGACTAAATACTTTTTTTCCCCACTGTATATTAGTCTCTCTGACTGTGAGATGGTGTCAGTTATATTAGTCTCTGACTGTAAGATGGTGTCAGTTATATTAGTCTACATTGAGAAATTTTTTAGAAGGGCAAACCATGTATGTCAAAAGGGTCGTTTTTTTCATAATGCTTGTGCACGATCTTGTGCACACCTTTGATACTTCTATGTGTGATAAGCTAATATATTCATGCTTAACACCTAAACGTTATGTCAAAGACATTGTCCGTGTTCGAAAGAGAGCATCCATTTTGCTGCTTTCTAAATACATTAATATCTTAACAGCCTTTATATCTATTATAGACATGTTTGATCAGTGGTGAACCTATAGGCCTTCAGTGGTGAACCAATAGGCCTTCAGTGGTGAACCTATAGGCCTTCAGTGGTGAACCTATAGGCCTTCAGTGGTGGACCTATAGGCCTTCAGTGGTGAACCTATAGGCCTTCAGTGGTGAACCTATAGGCCCTCAGTGGTGAACCTATAGGCCTTCAGTGGTGAACCTATAGGCCTTCAGTGTGTGACAGTGGTGAACCTATAGGCCTTCAGTGGTGAACCTATAGGCCTTCAGTGGTAAACCTATAGGCCTTCAGTGGTGAACCTATAGGCCTTCAGTGTGTGACAGTGGTGAACCTATAGGCCTTCAGTGGTGAACCTATAGGCCTTCAGTGGTGAACCTATAGGCCTTCAGTGGTGAACCTATAGGCCTTCAGTGGTGAACCTATAGGCCTTCAGTGGTGAACCTATAGGCCTTCAGTGGTGAACCTATAGGCCTTCAGTGGTGAACCTATAGGCCTTCAGTGGTGAACCTATAGGCCTTCAGTGGTGAACCTATAGGCCTTCAGTGTGTGACAGTGGTGAACCTATAGGCCTTCAGTGCCCGGTCACAGTTGTAAATGAGAACTTGTTCTCAACTGGCTTACCTGGTTAAATAAAGGTGAAATAAAAAATTAAAAAGTGGTGACAGTGGTGAACCTATAGGCCTTCAGTGTGTGACAGTGGTGAACCTATAGGCCTTCAGTGTGTGACAGTGGTGAACCTATAGGCCTTCAGTGTGTGACAGGTTTGTGATTCTGAAAGGACAGCAACCGTAATACCAGCGCTCATGTAGGAGAGTTAACGTTTAGTAAAACACAAAGGGCCAGTGGGTAGTGGAGAGAATATGCAGGTAAACGCCCTATACCCACTTTTAAAAAATGCGTATCAAAGTAGTGTAGTGGAAGTATATGACTTATCAATTATGTAGTACAATAGAGAAATCATGCACAATGTAGCCTACACAATCACAAAGCACGTGAAAAATATTCACATGCGCTCCGCACACGGCTTAGTTTCAGCAGGACATCATCTGCAGGCAGCAAGAGTGTGCAGCTCTCAACTGGTTTTGGCATGGAGCAGCTCACAGAAGACTGACATCGGTAGCAGGTAAGGTAGGAAAGATGTTTCACCTTATGATATCTACCTAACTAAGGCAACAATGGGTATGCGAACCAGGTATTGAAAAAGTTTAGTCCAAAGTGTTGGTTAGTAGGCTATTTGTGATTCGCAATTGTCATCATGTGCTGTTTGCATCAGGGAAGTAGACGTGGATGGGCCTGGGTGGACTGAGGCCCACCCACTGGGGAGCCGGGCCCTGACAGGCCCACCCACTGGGGAGCCGGGCCCTGACAGGCCCACCCACTGGGGAGCCAGGCCCTGACAGGCCCACCCACTGGGGAGCCAGGCCCTGACAGGCCCACCCACTGGGGAGCCGGGCCCTGACAGGCCCACCCACTGGGGAGCCGGGCCCTGACAGGCCCACCCACTGGGGAGCCAGGCCCTGACAGACCCACCCACTGGGGAGCCGGGCCCTGACAGGCCCGCCCACTGGGGAGCCGGGCCCACCCACTGGGGAGCCAGGCCCTGACAGGCCCGCCCACTGGGGAGCCAGGCCCTGACAGGCCCGCCCACTGGGGAGCCGGGCCCACCCACTGGGGAGCCAGGCCCTGACAGGCCCACCCACTGGGGAGCCAGGCCCTGACAGACCCACCCACTGGGGAGCCGGGCCCTGACAGGCCCGCCCACTGGGGAGCCAGGCCCTGACAGACCCACCCACTGGGGAGCCAGGCCCTGACAGTCCCACCCAATCTGTAAAAAAGGCAGTCCTGCTCCTCTCCTCTCTACCTAACTTCCCCTCATGCTCCCTTCAGTTTCCCTTAAGTCCTGTTAGTTTGGCTGCTCAGCCTACCTTAGTTATCCCTCAGCCCTCATAGCCCTGCCATTCCCAACCAATCAGAGCGCATCGGGACACTGCACCCACCCACTCAGGTCAGAGTGTTATCATTGTCCGAAGAAAGAAGACGCACATTTCTGAGGACTATTTTTATTGTGGACAGTAACAAGAATCCCTGAATGTGGCGCGTGCATCAAAATCTAAGTTACAGGGGGGTTTATTGGGTTTCTTTTTACATGTTGTGTAATAATGGGTCATTACCACAAATTACTTAGTAACTTTGATACGTTGGCATCCTTATGTTGTATTGTACCGCTATTACTGCTCGTTAAGCGGGGGGGGGGGGGGGGGGGGGGGGGGGGGGGGGGTCAATGTAAATAGTCCGGGTAGCCATTTGATTAATTGTTCAGGAGTATTATGGCTTGGGGGTAGAAGCTGTTAAGGAGCCTTTTGGTCCTAGACTTGGCGCTCCGGTACCGCTTGCCGTGTGGTAGCAGAGAGAACAGTCTATGACTTGGGTGACTGGAGTCTTAGACCATTTTGAGGGCTTTCCTCTGACACCGCCTGGTATAGAGGTCCTGGATGGCAGGAAGCTTGGCCCCAGTGATGTACTGGGCCGTACGCACTATTCTCTGTAGTGCCTTATGGTCAGATGCTGAGCAGTTGCCATACCAGGCGGTGGTGCAACCGGTCAGGGTGCTCTCGACGGTGCAGCTGTATAACCTTTTGAGGATCTGGGCACCCAAGATTTGGCATGGGTCCCCAGGAGACTGCCAAATCTTTTCAGTCTCCTGAGGGGGAATAGGCTTTGTCGTGCCCTCTTCACGACTGTCTTGGTGTGTTTGGACCATGATAGTTTGTCGGTGATGTGGACACCAAGGAACTTGAAACTCTCGACCCGCTCCACTACAGCCCCGTCGATGTTAATGGGGGCCTGTTCCGCCTTTTCCTATAGTCCACGATCAGCTCCTTTGTATTGCTCACGTTGAGGGAGAGGTTGTTGTCCTGGCACCACCACACTGCCAGGTCTCTGACCTCCTCCCTATAGGCTGA